CTGAGTTTCCAGCTGACCCCGCCTACCTTGAAGTTCTCTCAGTTTCTGCCCCCCACCATGCCCAGCTGTCCCCTGCCTCCGTGTATGTGCCTGTTAAGACTGTCTCCTTCTGGACAGCCCCTTCCCTCCTCTCTGTAACCCCAGCTAGTCACACCCTGCTCTGCTCCTGAGTTTGTCCACAATGCTTTAAAGCATTTCCTGCTTTTCCTCCCTGGGGTAGCTGACTTCTCTTTCCCTTGAGTTTCTGTGAACCCCATGTAGTCCTTATCAGAACCTTCAGATCCCTGCACTTTCTTATTTATTTCTCCGTTCATTTCCCTGGAGGCCAGAGTCTTTCTGTTCCTGCACTCAGCACAGCACCAGACACAGGTCTGGAGTTTGATGAAACAATGAATGAATGCATAAATGAAAGAGGCAGCATTTGCCTGGTTGTGGAAGAGCTGGGCAGATCTGAACTGTGAAGATAATGGGGATGGACGGTCCTTGCAAGAGGGGACATAGTCAAGGTTGGCACTGCAAGGCTGGTGGACAAAGCACTCCTGGGCTCTGGGGCCTCAGCTTAGAGGGTACCTTGTCTTTGAGTGATGCTCTGTTCAAACTCCCTGAGTCAAGCAGCCAGCCTATTTCCCTGAGAGAGGTCATGTTGCTTCTTTGCTAAAGCACCTTCCATGGCTCCCCAGTGACCTTGGAACAGGCCCAGATTTCTGAACCAGCCTACGAGGCCCTTCATAATTGGGGATCTTCCCTATCTTACTGGCTTGGCCTGACATGCTTACTGCAAGGCAGATCCAACTCCTTTTGCTATGCCTTGTGGCCATTACGCCAGCCATTCTCTCTGTTAGGAAAGCTGTTCCCTGCTCTCCATAGTCACCTCCAAGACCTGTCTCAGCTTCACAGCCTCCAGGACTCCCCCCTCTCCTGCCAGGTGATTGTTCCCCCCTCCCCACCCTTCTTCTCCCTATGAGGAAAGCAGGCTGATACAGCATCTAGGGCCCAAACCTCAGCTTTGAGTCTTCCTCACCCTGTGGCTGTGGTCTCCTCCTCCTTTTGAGTTCAGTTTCTTTTCCTGTTCCCATTGAGGGTCTCACATGCCACTCCCTCCCTGTAAGTAAGAAAGCCCAGCATGCTGATACAGGACGCTGGAGTGGACATGCACTTTGGACAGGAGAGACCTGGGTTCAAATTCTAGTTCTTGGGGTAGGAGAAGAGAGGGAGCCCCATTTCTGCTTACCATGAGCATGGGCCTGGCAAACTCAGGATCCACCCAGCCCAGACCCTTCTCACACAGCAGTTGGGATTCTGGGAACCTCTAGCCGGGTGGTGGGGGGGGGGGGACAAAGCCTGCTAAGCGTCCAGGAGACTCTGGAGCAGGAGGAGGGAATCTACACTTGGAGGTGCTGCCATGTGCCCACTGCACCCCTCTGCTGGAGCTCCGCAGGGTGGCTTGGCAGCTGAGTGCTGGGGCAGGGCCCTGGAGCAGGAGCAGCTGCACTAATTCATGCACGGGTTTGCCCTGTCTATTTATAGCTTATTTATGAAGAAGGAAAAATAAGGGCCCAGTTGCTGTAGCAACCAGGAGCATCACAGGCTGCTTTTCCTGCAGTGGGAAGACAGCCAAGTCGGCTTGCATGGGGCCCTCGGCTGTGTGTCCTGATAGGCAGGGTGGGCCTCTTGGGCCTGGGCCACACTTTGCTCCCGGGCAGCCTGCAGATTATGTGTGTGTGTGGTGGTGGGGGGGTCTGCTGCTTCCTGGCCCTTGGAAAATCCGGGGTGCTGATGGGGCTCTGCTCTCCTGGCCTTCGTGTTGTTTTCTGTGCCCAGAATGTCCACCTGCTGCCTTGGGTGGACTCGGGAGCCCTTCCCCTGGCTGTGCTCAGGGTCACTTAGCACAGTGAACAGGAGGTATAGTCCCCAGGCCAATGTCCTTCAAGGTTGTCATCTAGCATGGAGCTAGCACAACCAAGGAGGGGTTTAATAAATACAGAGCGAGTGAATGTGTGAAGGGCTTTACAGTTTATAACGCACACTCTCATTGGATGCATATGCAGTGAGCTACCCCTAGTAATCTCTCATTCTACAAATGAAGGAACTGAGAATCAGAGAGGTGAAGTGACCATCCTTATGTCACACAGCTTGGAACCAGCTGAGCACAGCGATGGCCCTGGAGGAGGAAATCTTGCTGCTTTTCTGGCAGAGCCCACAGAACTCTGGAGCCAATGTTCCAGCTGAGCTGTAATGTCAGGGGTGGGGCTGGGAGAGTTGCAGCTTGAACCGTGACTCTGCTATTTACCAGCTGTGTGGCCTTGAGTCAGTGACCTCACCCCTCCTGGCCTCAGTTTTCTCATCTGTAAAGTGGGGCAATGATGCCTGGTCCTCAGGGACTCTTAACTCCCTGGGGCAGGCACTGTGTTTGCCCTGCCATCGTCTGTCATCCCACTTTAGGTGCTGGGACGATCCTGTGACCCTGTACATTGTACAGTGTTTAGGACAGAGCTCTGGACGTTGTGCTTTCAGGACTGTTGGCTGGGAATATGTTACTTGGGAACTGAAGCAGAGAGAGGCTGATGACTTCTCGGAGGTCACACAGCCACATCCAGAGCAGAAGTGGTGCCTTCATTGGTGGATCAGGCTTGGCTGCACGGCCAGGGAATAAGAGGAACTGTGTCCAGGCTGAGGGGACAGCTGCAGTCCCAGGTAGCAGTCATGTTGGACAAGGAGGCTTAGCAGGGGTCTGACTGTGGGACCCAAGACACCCTGTTCGAGGCTAGAGGCTGCAGCCTACCCCTACCAGAGCTGCTTCTGGTCACCACCCAGGCCTAGGCTGCCTGGAGCTCTTGGTTGCCCTCTGCTGGGTGCTGCCAGTCTGCTGGGTCACCTCTGGAGGCCATAAGAGGAGGTAATGCCACCTCCTCAGTTCTTTCTGCCTGGGTACAAACATAAAACTAAAGAAACCCAGGTGAGAATGGACCTATGTCCTTTAGCTGTCCAGGAGGCCACAAATCATTTTTCCAGTTCCTCCAGCTCCCACCAGACCCAGCGGCAGGTCCTGTCACCACCAGCCACTTCCCTCTGCTGCAGCCACTGAAGACTCATGCTTGTTTCCCAAAAATGATGCCCAGAAACTTTGGGTTTTGTTGTATCCTTTTCTGTCTTTCTTTTCTGCCTTCTCACCTCATGAGTTTGCATTTCCTGGAGCCTCTGCTTCTGCAGCAGCCCACCCCCAGCCTGTGCGCCCCTCTGCCCAGCTCTCAGCACACCAGGTCACATGTTTTTCTGGGGACTTCCCCTCCTCTTCTGGGCTGTGACTCATGAGGTGTGTGAGTAAGCGCAGGCTGCTATAACAGAGTACTTTTACACAACAAAAATGTATTGTTGTGTAAAACCAACAAGGTTGAAGTCCAAAACCAAGGTGATGGCAGAGTGACTTCTTCTGAGACTGTGAGGGAGAATCTGGTGCAAGCCTCTTGTCTTGCTTCTGGGGGTTGATGGAGAATTTGGTGGTCTTTGGTTTCTGGAAACATCACCCCAGCTCTGTTTTTATTTTCATGTGGTGGTCTCCTTGTGTACAGGACTGTCTACAGATTTTCCCTTCTTATCAGGCCCCAAGTCTTGCTGGATTCGCGTCTACTCTTAACGGTCTCATTTAACTTGATCACCTCTGCAATGCGCCTGTTCCAAATAAGGTCACCTGGTGGGGGTTGGACCTCAAAATAAGTCCCATCAGTAAAATGAGTAGAGTCACAGAGGTCCCTCTTAAGAGTTGTGGTCAGGATGAAGTGAATGTATTAACTAACAGTTACTTATAAGAAATTACCATGTGCCAGGATGGATGCTTTCCAAATATAGTGTTCAATACTCATAGCAACCTTTAAAAGATTGAGATAAAATTTGCGCCATATGAAATTCACTATTTAAACTATTTTACATAGTGTGAAATTCAGTTTTTTTTTTTGCAGCACTGGGATTTGAACTCAGGGCTTAGCTGCATGCTAGGCAGGTGTTCTACTGCTTGAGCTGTGCTACCAGCTGTGGTTTTTTAGTGTGTGTGTCTTTATAATGTAGTGCCCCATGTCCACAGTCTAATTCCAGAACATTTTCATCATCACCTCCTCCCAAAACACTCTGAAGCAGGCACTCCCCCCATCCCTTCTCCCCAGCGTGTGGCAAACACAAATTCACTTTTGGTTTCTACAGATTTGCCCATCAAGGACTCTTCGTATAAGTGGAACTACACAATACGTGGTTCTTTGTGCCAGGCTTCTTTACCTTATTCACCCCTGTCGTTAGTATGCACCCGAGCTCAATTTCGTCTTATGACTGAATGATGCCCGGCTGCGTGGACACGTCACGTTTTGTTTAGCCATCCATCAGTTGGTGGGCGTTGGGGTCGTTTCCATTATTTGGCTATGATGAATAATGCACAACCGTGTACAAGGTTTTGGGAACACACGTTGTCAGTTCTCTGGGGTATATACTCGAAGGGTAACACTTTTTGGACAACTGTTAAATTATTTTCTGGAGCAGTTGCACCATTTCACATTCCCACCAGCCACCTAGGAGAGTTCAAACTTCTCCACCTCTTCTCCAACCCTTGTGACTTCCTGTCTTTCTGATTCTGTCCATCATAAGAGGTACACAGTGCTATCTCATTGAGGTTTTCACTTGCATTCCCCTAATAACGTGGAGCATCTTTTCACTCACTTGTCTTTCCCAATTTTATAGATTCAGAGGGTTGAAGGGATTTGCTCAATGCAAGGAGGTGGTGGGGCTGTGTCTAGGACTTGGGTGTGAATGTCGCCAAAGTACCACTTGGAAACACATTAAGACAAATCCTTTCCCCGCTCGGTGAGTCAGTTTCTCCTCCGCTCCACGAGAGGCGATATTCTCCAAACATCTCCAGGCCTCTCTAGGAATGCCAAGCTCTATGATCCATCCCCTCCCGCGCGGAGTTTGCCCTGCCCCTTCAGCCCAGGTCGCCAGCGGCACCGGAAGTGCTCGGCTCTTTTTATTAGCTCCGCCCCCCGGCCCGGAAATACTTTCCTGGAAAGATGGCGGCCGTGTCGGTGTATGAGGTACCGGTTGGAGGCTTCTCTTTTGACAATTGCCGCAGGTGTGTCTATGCTCCGGGCCGGGTTCGGGGCGGGAGTGAGAGTGTGGTGCTGGGGTCGGGGCTGGGCCACGGCCTGGGTCGGGATGTGCGAGCAGAGGGCGGGTAACGGGGCCCGCGGCCCATGTGACTCAGGGGAATCCGGGCCCGCGCGTGGCTTTCTCCCGATGCGTCAGGACACGGCCTGTTTTCATGTCTTCGGGAGAGTCGCGGCAGTCTTTGCTGGAAAACAGAGCAATGGCGGTGATGGTGGGAGATGCAGTGAGCAGACAGGAGGCGAATAGTTGCTTTCCTTGGTGGACTTCCCTATAGGCACTCTTGCTGTCAGCACGGCCCTTTGTGATCTTGCTCTTCAACACTGTTTTTGCACTTGCTCCCAGGAATGCCATCTTGGAAGCTGATTTTGCAAAGAAGGGATTCAAGCTCCCCAAAGCCCGGAAAACTGGCACTACCATTGCGGGGGTGGTCTATAAGGTAAGCCGGGACCCCCCCAAAAGCAGGGGTGATTTGAGCAGAAAACCGGAGTCAGGCCTCTTGGACTCCGTTCTCTCTTTGCAGCCGGGTGTGGAAGGGCAAATGTTATCTAGTGCCTTGGTGTGGAGGGTTTGTGCACTTTTTTTAATGTTCTCTTCTGAGTTTGCAGAGTGTTTGAAGGGAGGGCAATGATGTTTTTCTTAAGTTACTTTAGGAAGCTGGATGTCGTAATGGAAGAGCACCAAGTTTGTAGCACGTTAAACGGAGACATTTAATGCTTTTATGCCGCTTCCAATTTTGGGCAGCTCAGTTTTCTTCACACAGCTATGCCTTCTCCATCAAATGCAGATAACACCTGCCTTGCATTGTAGTAAGGGTCAAAGTGGACCCCTTACAGATGAAGAGCGACACGTATTAAAAACAAATTGACAGGTAGCTATTTTAATGAAACAATTTCTGGGTCTTAGTCCACCCCAGACTCCCAGATTAGCTCTGTGATTTGTAAGGAATTTACTTAATCTCTGAACCTCATTTGAAAATGGGAGTTTTACCACCTGTTCAGGATTCAACCAGTAAAATTTTTTAAGAAATCCTTCCTTCCTTTTTCCTTCTTCCCCCCTCCCCCTCCTCATTCCTCCCATCAGAGGAAGCTTTTTCTTGATTTTGAAAGTGTAAGACAATATTTTTGTAGTGGTTTTGGTGTGTGTGTGGTGGGGGTATGGCCAACATTGGTTTCCTTAAACTAGAATGGAGAACTGAGCTTCTGTATATGTGGTTGTTTAAAACTTTTTTTACGGTGCTGGGGATTGAACCCAGTTCTTCATGCATGCTAGTTGAGTGCTGTATCACTGAGCTACACATTCAACCCCTAAAAGTTTTTTTATTTTGATAGGATGGCATAGTTCTTGGAGCAGATACAAGAGCAACTGAAGGGATGGTTGTTGCTGACAAAAACTGTTCAAAAATTCACTTCATATCTCCTAATATTTAGTAAGTATTGATTGATTTGAATAGCTCTTAAATTTTCAAACATGTCAGGACTGACATTCTACTGAGGTTCTCCTCAGTAGAACCTGCTTTTCATCCTGAATTTTCTATCTCTCTTAAAAGGCATTTTCACCTATCTATTACCTAAGCCAGTCATCTTCAAGTCCTCTCCTTGCTTCAGTCTATGATTCAGTTGCTAACCAGTTTAGCCTTCTGTGTGTCTCTTAAATCTATTCCCCCTTGTCCTTTCCTCTACTATGACCTTTGTTTGGGTTCTTTTTTTGCAGCTGGACTATTGCAGTTGTCATTTAATTGGCCTCTCTGCCTTTGGTTTCTTTTTTGTCCTTTTGTGTACTCTGCTGCCATATTGGACTTTGTAAAATGGTCTGATTTTGTTCCTTTCCTTTAAAAACTTCTCAAAAGACTTCACATTTCTATTTTACTTTCATGATAAATTTGAAATGCTGTAGCCTATGAAAGGCCTTGCATAATCTCACAAAAATCTTAACCTTTCAGCCTCCCTCAGCTGCCATTACTCTATGCTCCAGTTGTACTGTACTGCCCCTCTCCCTCATGCCCCTGTTCCCGTTTCCCTCATCTCCAAACTAGTTCACCTCTGCTTATGCCAGCCTCTCTGTTTAGAAGTACTTTTTCCTCTTCTTTACCTGTAGTGTTTCTAGTCTCCCAAATCCAGCTCATAAGAAACCTTTCTGTAATGATCAGAATTAATTGTTCTCTCCTCCAGTTTCCCATAGTATTTTGGTGTTAGTAGTGTTTGAAATCAGGGCCTTGTAGTTGCTAGGCAAGCTTTCTACCACTTGAGTTATGCTTTCAGCCCTTTTTACTTTAAGGTCGTTTTTTTTCAGATGAGTCTCGCACTTTTTGCCTGGGCCTGCCTGGGAGCCCAATTCTCCTACCTATGCTTCCAGCATAGCCAGTATTATAGGTGTGCCCCATCATGTGTGGTTTAATTGTTGAGATGGGGGGGGGGTCTCCCTAACTTACTGCCCAGGCTGGCTTTTAACCTTCATCCCTCTGATCTCTGTCTCCTGAATAGCTGGAATTATGTCATAGCATTTTGTACTTAGGCAGTTAAATCATATTAAATAGTGTATTGCAATTTTTGTCTACCCATGTCTCCTGTACTCAGTTCTGAAAGTAACCAAGACTGAGTCATATTTTCTATATTCTCAGTACTTAGTGCAATCAGTGGTACCTGGTAGTAAATACTTGGTTGATATTGAATTGTTAGACTTTAATAGAGTTTGCTTTTTTTGTACAACTTGGATATATTTGTAGCATTAGTAAAATATGCACTCTGTTATGGGCCCAGAAACCAGTGATTTGTAATGTTCCATTGGGCCATAGAGAGTATATTTGTGTATATTCTTAATTTTATATTTACTTAAGATTAGTTAGAGCAGCTACATTGCAGATCTACTCAAAGCACCTCTGTGTGTACCTGAACTTTGTGGAAGCTATCCAAGAAGCTGCACTTTTGATTGGACCCCTAGTATTGAACATCACCTAAGTTTCTGATGGTATTTTTCAGTTGTTGTGGTGCTGGGACAGCTGCAGATACAGACATGACAACCCAGCTCATTTCCTCCAACTTGGAGCTCCACTCCCTCTCCACTGGCCGCCTTCCCAGAGTCGTGACGGCCAATCGGATGTTGAAGCAGATGCTTTTCAGGTAAGCCTCAGGACAGGGATTTCTGTAGCATCTTCCTGTATCTTAGATTTTTTTGGTCAAGGGAAGCCTAGAAGCTAGGGAAAAAGCATTCAGAAGTACACATTTTATTTCAGAAATCAAGTGTTACTAAAAAGTCATTTTAATTTTTGTGAGGTGTTTCATAGTGCATTTGAATTTGTGGGATCTGATTTTTTTTTTTTTTTGGCAGTATTGGGGTTTGAACTTGAGTCCTCAGGCTTGCTAGACAAGCACTCCACCACTTGAACTGCAACACTTCTCCAGCCCTTTTTACTTTAGTTATTTTTCAAATAGGGCCTTGTGGTTCTGCTAGGGTTGGCTTGGACCATAATCCTATCTCTGGTCTCCCAAGTAGTTGGGATGACAGGCATGTGACGCCATGTCCAGCTTCTTGGTGGAGATGGGGTTTCACTAACTTTTTGTCTGGGGTGGCCTCAAACTGCGATCTTGGTCTCTGTCTTCTGAGTAGCTGAGATTACAGGGATGAGCCACTGCATCTAATGGATCTGATTTTTTTCCTGAATAAATCATATGTGGCTAGTTGAGTAATTTTCCAAAGCATAGGGATACTACTGAAGAGGAGACATTTTTTGCTTATAGTAAGAAAGGACTAGGGGTGTCGCTCAAGTGGTAGAGAATCTGCCTAGCAAACATTTGGCCTTGAACTCAAACCCTAGTACCACACACACGCGCGCACACGCACGCGCGCGCACACACACAAGCCCTCTTCCCCTTCCAACAGACAGGCACAAAGGATTTTTTGTCCTCTCTTTTAGGAGTAAAATAACAATGCAATGAAAAGTAGTAATGCAGTTGTCTGTGAGTGGGTATAATAATATCAATGTTAACTAACCTTCGTCTCTCACTCTGTTCCAGACCCTGTCTTAAAGTGTTTATGCATCGTCTTGTTTTATCTTTTAACTCTGAGATAGGGCCACCATCTCCTATTACTAAGTGAACAAACTGAGGCTTAAAAGGGTGTAGTACCTGGGCTCTGGTGGTTCATACCTGTAAGCCTAGCTATTCAGGTGGCAGAGATCAGGAGGATTACAGTTTGAAGCCCCCATCTCGAAAATACCCACAAAAAAACAGGAGTGGTGGAATGGCTCAAGTGGTAGAATGTCTGCCTAGCATGTGTGACGTACTGAGTTCAAACCCCAGTACTGCCCAAAAGAGAATAAAATAAAAAGGTACAGTGATTTGCCTGACCTGAATTTCACCCTCTGCTAATACCTACACACAATTCATAATGAGTAGTTTTATTTCTTTTTCTCCTTTAATAATCACATCAGTGTTTTATGTTTATATAGGCCTCACTAGTTTTTAAATGTAAAGTTCATTTTTTCATTCTGTCTATGTAAGGCAGAGGCAGTGTATTATAGTGGTAATTGTCTGGGTGGTTAGTCTTTGATTAGAATATTGACTTCTCTTTTTGGGACTTGTCTCACCTTGAGCAGATTCTTTCCTGTTTCCTTATATGTAGAGTGGACATGATATTTGTTCCTAGGGATTGTCATGAGGATTAAAGAGCATCATGAATAGAAAGCAAAGGTTGTGCACTGGTAGCTCACGGGTCACTGGCCTCTATAGGAGTTTATTTAGGTGACATGGCATATAAAAAAATAGTGGCCAATAATTATAAGTTGGGAGATTTAAATGCAAAAGTCTGAATTTCTGGCTTCTTTTGAATAAAATACAGAAAGAAGGCGGGGTAACACATGGTAGTAATCTTCTGGAATTGAGTAGTGGATGTTACCTTAGAAGTGGGAGTATACCTGCCTCAGTTCACTATTTTTCTTGCATGAGTCTTGTCTGCCTGAGAACTTGCAGGTCCTCACCTACATGTCTAGTATAGTTCTGGGTTCTCAGTAGTATAGATGCAGCAAGGCTAGTAATACAGTTCCTATTTTACAGATGAGAAGACCAAGACTTGGAGTCTTGTGGGCAAGTGCTAAGCCCTTCATGTATCTAATGATCTTAATTATTGCTAACCAAATAAATTCTTCAGTTACAGTAGGAGTAGAACTTATTAAAGCACATCTTACTGGGATTTTTTTTTTTTTTCAAAAAGAAGTTTTTTGGTAGTATATGATCATTCTTACCAAGATTTTTGAAGGCATTTGTGGATTTAATTTTAAATACAAAGCTCCCTCTGGTGGTTGATGTGATGCATTACATATAAAGGAATTTTTAAACTTGTAAAATTGCTTCAGGTATTTTAAGAGTCCTTTTAAGAGTCTTCGCAGTGTGGTTTAAAACATTTAGCAAAATATTTTAGCAGATATTTCCATTAACTTCTTTAGAATGCTTTAGAATTCTGAAGTCTCATTTTTTTAGTGTCTAACAATTTTTGGTTTAATATACTTTGTAAAAATTAAATTTTGTCAAATCAGTATAGTATTGTCCTTCATGTCTTGTGACAATTTTGGTAAAGTACATAAAGTGAGTCAGAGTGGTATAAGGGGAAAAAAGTCTTGTTTTCAAGTCCTGCCCTTAGCACTGCTAGTTGTGTGACTTTGGGTCACTTCACTTGTCTTAGCCACAGTTTCTTTCTCCAAAAGTGAAGATACTAATTTCTGTCTTTCTGCCTTTTGAAGGGCAAAGAGATAAAGAAGCAAGACTGGCCAGGTGCCAGTTACTCAGGCCTGTAATCTTAGCTACTCAGGAGGCAGAGATCAGGAGGATCGCAGTTGAAAGTCAGTCCGGGCAAATAGATTACGAGACCCTGTCTCGAAAAAACCCATCACAAAACAGGGCTGGTGGAGGGCTAAAGGTCCTGAGTTCAAGCCCCAGCACTGGGGAAAAAAACCAGAAAACAAGGCTTTTGACAATGCCTAGAACAGGGCTTAAAGTCTTTGAGATGTGTTTTTTCAGACCTTTTATACTATACCTATGTTCTCATAATATAACATTATGCAATAATAAGAGTGGCACACCATTGTGTCTTCCCATAGTTCCCATGGGAACTGTCTTGTTCCCATAGTCCCCTATTGTGCATATTGTTCCTGTTAGTCAATGAGCTCAGTGAGGAGCTCTCCCTTTGAGCCCATGGAGGAATTCTAGAGACCTAGAACCTCCTGAAATATGAAGAAACTTGCATGTGTACGCTTGTTTCAGGGGAACGTTACAGAGTTTCAATCAGTTTTTCAGAGGGGTCCGACCCATAAACTTTAAGAACCATTTATCAATATTATAATTTTTGGTGCCATCATAGGCTTCCATTCTGTGAGTATGTCAATAATTAACCAGTTTTTGAACGTTAATGATAATGCCCATTTAAAGATATTGGAGGTATTAAAGGATATTCTATGAACACTTTGGAGCATAGGACCTTTGGGTGCTTGCATAACTCCTTAGGCTATACTCTCGAATAAATTCCTTGGTTTGAAAAAAAGAATTTAGACAAGCATGTTTAACATTTTATACATATCACTAGAACATGCCAGAACCAGAAGGTTGTACTGCCATAAATTGTGCCTGAGCAAATGTAGCATGGTTTTAATGATTTTGTAGTGTTCGGTTCCCTAGTCACATCAGTTTATGTTTTCTCCCTGTTTCCGTTTTTTTTTCTCCCATCTTAAACAGTGCTGTGGTACACACATTTCTGTCTGATTATATCCTTGGGCTAGAGTCCTGGAAGTAGAATTTCTGAATCATGTTTTTCTTTTTTGGTGTTGGGGATCAAACCTGGACCCTGCATAAGCTGGGCAATCGCTCTACTACTGAGCTACACCCCCAGCCCTCTGGATCAGTTTTTAAGAATTTCAGTAATTTGCCAAAGGATCTTAGATTCTTTTAATGCATCAAACAGATTATATTTTAACTTGGAGGGGAACTGACTCATAATTACTGACTTTATTCAATCACCCTGTTTATTTAGCAGGCAGTGGAAGAGGCACTGCTCTCATGGGGGAGTGGTGGGTTTGGTCATTCTTGCTTCTTGTCCCATGGTCCTGGGCTCCAATCTTTACTCTGTTAGTTATTCATATGGCTTTGATCCAAGTGCTTTTGCCATCTGGACCTTTGTTTCCTCTTCAGGCTGCTTCTGAAGTCTTTTCCTGTTCGTGAATTTTTCACTTAAAAATAGAAGATTCTTTCTGAAATAGCAGTTTGGCAATCAAAAGACAGGGGAAATACTGGACTGGACTTCTGTTTACTGAGAGTGCTTCTTGATGTGCAGCCTAAAATTATGACTTTGGTCTTTGTGTTAATTTGTATTAGTTTTAATGACTATATTTGGTGAAGTTCAGCATACATTGGTTTCATTTTTCTCCTCAAAGAGCTAAAGGCTTCCTGTTGGAGACTTTAAATTCAGCATGTTTATCTAGCATAGTAATCCTAATAATGAAACACAGAGCCAAATACAAGGAAAAGAAGCTACAGAAGTGGTAAATCAACCAGGTAAAGAGTCTAAAGCAACAAATATGTGCACAGTTATACTGAGGTGGGGAAGGGTGGGGTGGAAAATTTATTTATTTATTTTTTTGAGGGGGTGGAGGTGCTTATACTTGCTAGGTAAGTGCTCTACCATTGAGCCAAGCCTCCCAGACCAGAATATGTATTCTTGTTGGTGCTCCTGAAGACTGTAGCTGTCCTGTGGGTGGTGGGTGGTTTTATGGGCCATAATGGGATGTTATCCATGTTTCTCCTTTACTCAGTATGAGCTCATATCTGTGATTATAAATTTAATAGGTTAATTCAAAGAAAAAAGTATTTTGACATCTGCCGTTTTCCCATTGAGGTTGTGATGAGCTTCGTTTTTAGAACAGCTGAACAGCTTGAGCTTAACAGCTCCTCACTGTTAACTCTGAAGGAAGCTTATCTGCCCATCCCAAGAGAGGAATGATGGAGACAGTAGTCTTTGACAGTCTTTGGAGTAAGCCAAACTTGACTTGACACTGAGTCAGTACTTAACATCTCTAGGTTAATTTTTTCTTCCCTAAAATAGAAATGATTATGACCTCTCTTAAAGGAAGCTGTGAGGTTGAGGAGAATTGAGGTGTGCGGAGTTCCTCACACAATCAGTTTATAGTGCTGATCATAGAGCTCACCTAATGTTCTTTCCCCATTTTGTTCCTCTCAAAACAGTAACCTCTTAACAAAACTGCAAGAAAAGCCTTTTGTGGTCTGAGTCCCATAGCTTTCAGTTAAGTTACAGTCATGCTCATGTTTTTTTTTCTTATGCATACTCCGATCACCAGGTATCAAGGTTACATTGGTGCAGCCCTAGTTTTAGGAGGCGTAGATGTTACTGGACCTCACTTATACAGCATCTATCCTCATGGATCAACTGATAAGTTGCCTTATGTCACCATGGGTGAGTATAATATTTTTCTGATGTTCCAGACTTCTCTTTCTTACCAGGTAGGTCTCTGGAAGGGTTGGTCTCTTTCCTGTTAAAGGTAGCAGTGCAATACAGTGCTTTGGTTCATTCAGCAAAGGTTTATTGAGTGCCTACTAAGATTACACTTGGTATATAGCAGTGAATAAGATTTATGTAATGATTCCTGCCTATGAGGAGTTTTACTGGGAAAAGACAGGCAGTAAACAACTATAAAAACATCACTAGGAAGAAAGACAGCAGTCTAGGTGATACTGTACTATAGACACCTAAGATATTACCTTGGGGAGAGTGGGCTAAGGGTACGTGGGAACCCTGTGCATTATTTTTTACATCTGTATGTGAATTTATAATCATCTAAAAATAAATTAAGAAAATTCATGCAGAATAAGGGACTTAGGAATGGGGATGGGCAGGTAGAGGGGCAGAAAGCAGATCACAGAGTTAAGTAGGAAGGTCGGGCATTCTGAGGATGTGGGTGAGATTTGAGTGGAAGAGACATCCCTCCAGGCCTCGTCTCTGAACATGCCTGGTAACTGCAGAGAGGTGTTTCTTTTAAAAGCTAGAGTGACTGGGGTCCCTGCCATTCCATCTCTGAGGAGTCATGGGTGTGTGATTCCTCTTCGAACTTTGATTTCCTACCTGTGAAATATTGTCAACAACACCCACATACCAGGTTGTTATAAGGATTAGAAACAGTGTATGAAGCTCCAGTGTCTGGCTTGTAAACAGTAGTAAATCTTTTTGCATTTGTGTTTTAGCACTATGTGCTAGGTGAGAGGTTTTTATTTTGGAGGGGGGCAGTACTGGGGTTTGAACTCAGGGCCTTGTGCTCATTAAGTAAGTGCTCTACCACTTGAGCCTCACCCTCCCCCCCAACCCTTTTTGCTTTTAATTTATTTTTCAGGCAGGGTTTTGTGCTTTAGCCTGGGGCCTGCCTCAGATCAAGATTCTCCTACTTCTGTCTTCTTAATAGCTAGAATTTTAGGCACGCACCACCATCCCTGGCTTGTTTTTTGAGATAGGTTCTCACTGACTTTTTTGCGTGCGCTGGCTTCAAACTGGGACCCTCACATTTTTACTTCCTGTGTAGCTGGGAGTACACCACCATGCCTGGTGGCCAGCTTGCTTTTGAGATAGGTCATGCTAACTTTTGTCCAGGCTGGCCTTGAACCTTTTATCTTTGCCTCTTGAGTACCTGGGATTATGGTGCGCCATCGTGCCTAGTCTGGAAAAAAGTATTTTTGGAAGTGAGAAAATTGTATTTATAAGAATGAGCCTTTCAGATTCTAGTGTTTATGTTAAATTTCTTAGTCAAGTGGTATAGGTCCAGAAATTGGAACAGTTGTGTGCTGGCGTTTTCCCAGCAGTTGTTTATGGCTTACATTCTCCGTCTTGGTATCTTGGCTCTACAGTTAGGAAGACTGCTGCCTTGAAGAATTAAAAATTGCCAGTTTGAGACTTTGCTATTCTTTCGTGTATCTAGCCTCTTACAAGGTTTTCTGCAACAGATGTTCCATATCTTTTGGGGAGAAAGATTTACCTCCAGATACCATATGGATGGAGTTTGTAATTATTTTAAAATGAAGATACAGTAATTTTAGAATTGCTCTAAATTGCTTTTTTTCAAGTTATTTTTTATTTCCATTAAAGCTGCTATTTTTATTTTTTCCCATATAATACCTTTAAGTGGTAGTAGAATTATCTTTTCTTTTAAGTTGTTTCATTATTTCTTAGTTGAAAATTTCAGACTTGCAGAAAATGACAACATACAAAGAACAGTCATGTCCTCTTTACTCAGATTGGTCCATTGTTAATATTTTACTGCATCAGCTCTATCTTACTCAGGCATGTTATTATCATCAGTACACTCACACCCATACTCTCAAATGGTGTATAACCATTTGAGAGTAAATAACAGACACCATAACTCCCCACCTCTTAATCTTTCAGGATGTTCTCTTTCATCACTTTGGTAAAAGCACGTATTTCATGAAATTTAATGTTGATACAAATCAGTTTCATTTTTAAAATGGGAAAGTTGAATTTGTTTCTTTTGCTTTTGAATTGTAGTAATTTGTCTTTGAGCATAAAGCTGAATTTAGGAAAAGTTTAAAGTGTGTGGTCAAGCAGATTTTAGTCTGCTCATTTCACCTCTGTCATCTGCTTTGTGCTGTATCCTGACTTAACAGTGACCTTATGCTGCTCCACGTCTGGTTTGAGGTTATTATGGTGGTGAGTCTATAGCTCTGAGTTTGTAGAGTACTTCTGTTTAGAACCACTAACTCCACAGTCTGCTTTTGCTGTCCTAGAAGACTGGATTAAGAAGAATGAACCATAAGTAACGTTTGATTTAATATAGGAGTAAATTATTACTGTTAGGTTTTGTTTTTGTTCATCTGGTCATGCCTTCATCAACTACTTACTGAGTGTCTTCTGTGTAAAGGCACTGCACCAGGCAGCACAGTCAGAGGTGCATGTGAGGGTCTTTACCTTTAAAATAGAGGCATTCATAATGGAAGACAGATGTAGAGGCCAACAGGGCAGTAGGTGTAAAGGCCAGTGGGGCCCTGGAATAAGGGGTCATTTCTAAATGGGGGGAGTTCAGGAAGAGCTTCACTTCATTTGAGTCTTAAAAGGAGAATAGGGTCCTTTCATTTGTTTACCAGATACTTATTTATTCATCAGTGCTAGGCACTGTGCTGAGAATATCATGGTCAACATAGTGCCATCTTAGAGCCTGCTGGGCAGCTAAATAAACCTAACTCTAAAGGGGTGCACCGTGAGAAGTGCCCTGGAAGAGACCAGTGGTAAGGAAAAATGGTAAGAGACTGGATGATGGATGTTTGAGAAGTCCCTTCTGAACAGTGACATGAAAACATTTTTTAATGAAAGTAGTTTATGAGCATGACAAAACACTCAAGAAGGACAAAAGACTAAGTGAAAAATAAGTGTTTCATACCCTTCCTCCAAAGTTACTGCTAGTAGGAGCTGTTTTAATTTTTCCAGAAAATATTTTATGCTACACATTCATATATCTCTGTCTCTGATTTTCATTTCTTGGCCTATGTATCTTTTGGTCCCTTTAAAAAATTCATAAATGAAGTCATGGTGTACATGATGTTCCTCCCTTATTATTTATTTGTTTGGGAGAGGTTTTCGCATTGGCACGTATAGATCTGTGTCATTTCTGGTTTTTTTGTTTGTTTTGGTTGGTGGTACTGAAGTTTGAACTCAGGGCTTTGAAAGGCAGGCACTTTACCATTTGAGCTACCTCCAGCTTCATGTCATTTTTTGTAATAGCTATGTAGAGTTGCTTTATATGGCTCTACCATGATTTACTGATCCATTCTCCTAGTGATGGATATTTTGGTTTTCAGAGTTTTGAAACAAATGTATCTTTGTCTATTTGTATAAATATCTACTCGATTTAGATAAATTCCTAGTAGTGAAATTTCTGGATTAGGGTGTGTTCATGTCTGGAACAGAGTTCTCTGTTATAAGCAGTAGAATTGGATGATTTGAAGAAGAGAGGATTTTTTTTTTTTTTTTTTTTTAAAGAATAGCAGGTGACTCACAACATAGCTAGGAGGACAAGAACAGTTTGGGACCAAGAGCAGTGTAGAACTTTATATAGGACATCAGAATGGGCCATGGTAGGAGAGGAGCCTGTGTACATGGCTGGTGCAGCTGTAGGCCCCAGCTGTTTCTGAGCCAAATGTTCTGCTGTCCCTCTCATTGCCAGAGAGCTCCTTCAGGAAAGGGTGGGTGCTTCTTGATGGGTGAAGCTCAACCTCCTGTCAGTACAGGGTGGAGTTTGCCAGATACAGGAAGGAAGTGCAGCTGCTGGGCAGCCCCCAAAAGTGACAGATGGTGAGCCATACAGTATGTTTTACCTTTTAAGAGCTCTTGCCAAATTGCCCTCCAAAAAGATGGCACTAATTTACTCTCCTACCAAGAGAACACGAGAATGCCATTCTCATACTGCCTCCCCAGCATTGGGTATTCTTGCCAGTCTGATAACTGGAAAACGGGAAGAAGTGGCACTGGTGATGAGTAAGCATTAGCTGGCACACCTCCTGCCTAAAGGGAAATAATTTTTGAAGGCCTGCTTTACAGGAGGTGAGGCAAGAGCAGTAGCTGCAGGTAGCAGAAGTAAAAATTGGGAGGGATGAAGAGAGTGGGTGTCAGGAGGATAGAGAGAGGCCACCCAGGAACCAGTTGCTACAGCCTAGGTTTTTTGTGATTTTTGTCCTGGAAGTTCTCAGCTGATATTTTCAAACCAGGCAGTGGTAGGATTAGAATTGCTTATTAGTGCACCCTGACAGCCTAGGGAACATTGGCATGAAGGAGCTGGGGACAGTGAGGGAGATTGCCTTCTGGCTAGAAATAGTAAGGGTGTGGACAGGTCCGGGGCAGTAGGGATGGCCTGTCAATACAGAGAACACGTGGAAACCAGCTAGCCCATAGACTGGATCTACAGTTCTTGGCGTCTTCCTCAGTGCCAGCTGCCTGCTGGTTCTTGGCTGCAGTGTGGCAGTAACTCCTCCACCTGGGCCGACTTGCTTTGCACTTGGGCTCTGAACCCTTTTTCCCCATCTCATTTTCTGTTCCACTTCCATGTGTCCCTAGGCCTCTGGCAGTAGCCCCCTTGCCCTCAACTGAATGGATTTTTGTTTAGCTGCTGCCGCTGTAAGAAGTGGCTTTGCTGCCTGGATTGTCCTCCCCACCATCTACAAAGTCCAGCCCAAAGCCATTCCCTCCTGGCAGCACCAGACCAAGGGAGCAAGTTCTGATTCCAGGTCCCGAGCCTTGGCCAAACTCCCTTCTCCCTGACCTTGTCCCTCTCACCCTTGTCCCTACTGCCCTTGCAGTACTTTGCCATCTCCAAGAGTGGAATCTGTGTCTTTCCCTCAGAGCCTTCCAGGAACTTGCAAAACTCAATGAGTGTTTGGTGGTGAATTAATTTCTAGATT